CCAGGGGAAAAATTTTTTTTTTAAAAAACACCTGAAATGCAATGCTTTTTACCTTTGCGATGGTAGCAATAAGCCACCAACCAGAAGGAAAAAAACCTTCTCTCCTTTTCCTTTTTTCCTTGAAACTTGCAGGGTTCTTTTTTTTTTTTTTCCAGCTGCCCAGCCTGCTCCTCAGACCCAGCCCGGGTTCGGCCTCCTGGACGCCATGCCCTGCGCGGGGTGTGCGGCGCCGCCGGTCCGCGTCCAGGCTCCGGGCCGGTCCGCGGCCTCCGCCTCCATGAACCGGCCTCCGCGGCTCCCGCCGGCCGCTGCCTCCGCTCCCCGCGCCCGCCGGACCAGCGCCCGGAGCCTGCGGCCCGGGGGCGATTACCGCGGAGCTGGGTCCGGGGGGCTTTCCTCCCGGAGAACCGGCCGCCGGCTTCTCCCGGCCTCAGCGCGCAGCCCGGCGGCGGCCTCCGGCCCCGCTCGCCCCGCGCCCCCGCCGCGCTCGGCCTGGGCGCCGCGGCTCCCGCTCGGCTGCGGCCGGGAAGGCGGCGGCGGCGGCGGCGGCGGCAGGAGGCGTCCGGCTCGGGTGGGCGTCCGGCTCCCGGCGTCGCGGCTGCGCTCCCTCAACCTCGCCTCCTTCCGGGCCCCTTCCCCGCGGGCTCGGCGCAGGCCCAGCCCGCCGCCCCCTCCGCGCCCTCCAGCCCCGCAGCCTTTCTCCTTCCCTCGCTCCGGCGGGGGCGGGGCCGCAGGCTCCTCCTCCCCCGCCTCCCCTCCCCTCCTCCCTCCTCCGCCTCCTCCGCCTCCTCCGCGCGGCCGCCGGCCTGGCCCCCGGCGCCGCGACCGGACCCGGCTCGGCCCGCCGGCCGCCCGCCGTTCCCTCCGCGGGGCCTGCGGCCGCGGCTACCGCGCGCCCCGCCGCCCGCCGCTGGGCCGGTCCCTGCGCGCTCTGCCCGGCGACCCCGCGCCCGCGCCCGCCCCTCCGCGGCCCACAGTGGCCGGCGCGGCCTAGCGGGTCCCGGTGTCACGGCTTCCGACGCTTCGCCCCGTCCACTCCGCCCCGCCCCGCCCCGCCGGCGACCCCGGCCCGGACCCCGCCGCCTTCACCGCCCCGCCGCCCCCTCCCGCGGCCGAGGTGCCCCCTTTCCTGCCCTGAGCCCGAGACCCGACCTGTGTGCCGCCCCCGCTGGGCCCAGGCCCACTCCCCCTGGTCCCGGTCCCGGTCCCGGTCCTGCCTCTGCGTCCCTCAGCATCACCCTGCGCTCCCACCGCCACTGCTCACCCAGTCTCCACCTCTATTTTCATCTTATTTTTCAAAAATCTGTCACGGCCCATAGCTGGTTTGGCTCAGTGGATAGAGCATCGGCCTGAGGAGGGAAGGGTCCCGGGGTCGATTTTGATCAAGGGCACAGGCCCGGTTGTGGGTTTGAGCCCCAGTAGGGGGCATGCAAGAGGCAACCAATCAATGACTCTCATCATTGATGATGTTTCTATCTCTCCCTCTCCCTTCCACTCTGGAATAAGTAAAAGTATATATATATATATATATATATATATATATATATATATATATATATATATATATATATATATATATATATTTTTTTTTTTTTTTAACTTGTCTCACCTCCTTCCTGGGAGTCAGGAGGTCTTTGTTTCCTCCCATTTTGGGGGCTCTCCCCACGTCTAACACCCAGCAGCTTTGGGGAAAGAGACCTTCACTTGGTTGATTTGGTGGGCGGGGAGGGGCGGGAGGAAGCCTGCAGGAGGCAGCCTACCTATCTTACACTCTCATAGCCATTTCTCTCTTCTCCCTTTCTCTCTCTAAAAATCAATAAACTATCCTATATAATAAAAGGCTAATATGCAAATAGACCAAAGAGCAGAACAACCGGAACAACCAAACAACTGGTTGCTATGACATGCACTGACCACCAGGGAGCATGTTCGGAACATGGCGGGCTTGGCTTGGGTGGGATGGTGGAGCAGGTGAGCATGGGTGCCATATTCGCCCCTGTGCCTACCGCAGCCTGGAGGCCCACGGTCCTTTTCAAGGTGCACGAATTCGTGCACTGGGCCCCTGGTTGTAAAATAAAAACCTGTCTCTCCTTTATGCTCAATATCTCTTTTGAGCCCCTTCCCCAGGAGATAACCAATGAATTTCTGTAGAACCGAGATTTTCATGGTCATGCTCCCTGTCTTGACCTGTAAAGTTTGTAGCAATTAATAGGCTTAATTTTGCCCAGTGGATGAGCAAGCATTATGAAGAAAATGAATATCTGTGCATGGCATTTCCACTGGTTCCTGGGAAAATCTCACAATTTTCCTGGGGAAATTGCAAGAGACAGATGGCTTCTAAATAATTTTTAAAAAATATATTTTATTGATTTTGTACAGAGAGAAAGAGAGAGGGATAGAGAGTTAGAAACATCGATGAGAGAGAATCATCGATCAGCTGCCTCTTGCACCCCCCACCACACACACACTGGGGATGTGCCCACAACCAAGGCACATGCCCTTGACCGGAATCAAACCGGGACCCTTCAGTCCGCGGGCGGACGCTCTATCCACTGAGCCAAACCGGTTTCAGTGGCAGATGGCTTCTAAAGTGGTGACCCAGAAAGCTGCTTGGTCAGTGTTAATAAAGCTAATTGCTTTTACTATAGGTAAATACAATTATAAATGCATTCTTAAATACTTTCCTCAGGAACATGAGTGCATTTCTTCGTACACTCCACTTTGCAGCCTAGGGGATGGGGTGGCTTTAGCGGGATAGAGTTCCCTGACATTAGCTGGCTATGTAAGCAAATTGCAAGTCTCAAGCTAAGGGAGAAGGAAGATTATATTGTTCCCATCACAGACTACATGGGTAGGAATTTCGGAGCAGCTATTGGCTAATGGGAAGAGCACTAGACAAGGAGTCCAAAGAACTGAGTGCATTTGTTTTGGGCTGTATACTTTCCTAGCTTTGTTACCTAAGGATTCTTTAAGGTCAAGCCTGGCCTCTGTCAACTATAGTCCTGGGCAGGAAAATCAGGATAAATGTTAAGAAGTGATTTTGAATTGACATAGTCCTTTTAACTTTTTTTTTTTTTTTTTTGCCACAGAATTCTTCACAAATGAATCTTTTTCTCTGCTCAACATCCTGTGGTAAGACATTAGTCCTTAGGGTCATTAGTTGTTAATTCATTCACACTCAGGAATCAATGGCAAAGAAGAATCTTAGGTGATTTGCATGAAATCCCATTAGTTGATGGAATGCATACCTTCTCATTTTTATGATAAGTGTGAGAAGCAAAAGAAAAAAACAGGTATGGCCAACTTTTATTTGCTGGGACAGATTGGTAAATATCCCCAAACATGTGTATTTTATAGAAAACCGGACTTCAGGTTGCAGTTATTTAGTCACTCTCCTGGCGTGCAATTGCAGCTCACCAGCCACATGCGGCTCTTTGGCCCCTTGAGTGTGGCTCTTCCACAAAATATCATGTCTGGGAGTGCACGTACAGTGCGATTGAAACTTCATGGCCCATGCGCAGAAGTCGGTTTTCGGCTCTCACAAGAAATTTCAGTGTTGTACTGTTGATATTTGGCTCTGTTGACGAATGAGTTTGCAGATCACTGAGTTAGGGGATAGGCCTGGCAAAATAGTCACGACTGGAGGAACAGTGCTCCTGTTTCTTGGAGATCCTTCACCTTCTTTCTTTAACTTTCATCAGTTGGAAAAATGATGTGGAAAAGCTTGCTTAATTATCGTTTAATCCTAAGGCTGAGAATGCTTTGTGGTTTATTTTGTAGCTGATTTAGATTTCTCCAGAATGCTTCTAGGTAGCTAGAATATTAAGCCTGGGTTACAGACATTATTTTATTGTCACTCAGAATATTCTGTTCATTCAACCTGTTGGGTTCCCAATAAAATTTTAATATGAAGTACAGGCATATTTTGTTTTATTGCACCTCGATTTATTGTGTTTTGCAGATACTGCATTTTTAATTTTTTAAATTATTTTTTTAAACTAAATTTATTGGGGTGACATTGGTTAACAGGATCGTATAGATTTCAGGTGTGGATTTCTGTTACAGATTTGTGTATTGCACTGTGTGCCTGCCACCCAAAGTCAAATCATTTCCCATCACCATATATTAGACCCTACCCTTCCCAACCCTCTACCCCATTCCCTCTGGCTACCACCACACTGCTGTTGTGTCAGTGAGTTTCAGTTTTATATCCCATATATGATTCTTAACTTTTTCTGCCTGACTTATTTCACTTAGCTAACATTCTCAAGGTCCATCCGTATTGTCACAAATGGCAGTATTTCATCTTTTCTTACGACTGAGTAGTATTCCATTGTGTATATGTATCACGTGTGTGTGTGTGTGTGTGTGTGTGTGTGTGTGTGTGTATTAATTGATTTCAGAGAGGAAGGGAGAGGAAGAGAGCAATAGAAACATCAATGATAAAAGAAAATCATTGATCAGCTGCCTCCTACATGCCACCCATTGGGAGATCTAGCCCATAATCTGGGCTTGTGCCCTTGACCAGAATCAAACCCAGGATCCTCCAGTCCACAGGCCGACACTCTATCCACTGAGCCAAACCAGCTAAGGCTATGTAGTACATCTTAATCCAACCCTCTATTGAAGGTCACCTCTGTTGTCTTGGCCATTGTGAATAATGCTTAAATGAACATAGGGGTGCATATATGTTTGCAAATACACGTTTTTTTAGTTTTTCAGTACATGCCTAGAAGAGGGATTGCTGGGTCACATGGTAACTCTATTCGTAATTTTTTGAAGAACCTCCAGACCTTTTTTTCACAGCAGCTGTCCCAATCTCCATTCCCACCAGCAGTGAGTGAGGGTTCCCTTTTCTCCACAACCTCTCCGACACCGGTTATTACTTGTCTTGTTGATCATAGCTATTCTAACCGGTGTGAGGTGGTTTCTCATTATAGTTTTTATCTGCATTTCCCTAATTGCTAGTGAGGTTGAACAACCTTTCATATCTCTGTCGG